TACCCGGCTCTTTTTCGTGTCTCCGAGGAGATGATGCCACGACAGGTCTCCGACGCGCGCTCAGCGCGGAGCGCCTTCTCGGAGAAGAGCGGCTTTTCAGAGGCCTCCAGCGACAAGGCCTGAGGTGAGCCACGTGCTCAAAACCGATTCGGGTAGATGAAGGCTAGGGCCAGTCCCAGCCAGAAATGCGGATATCCGCCTTCTTAATTCTTGAAGCATGGCTCTGGGATTACGACCATTTCAATACCGGGTTTTGAGCAAGTGACTCAGGTGGTCGTGGCCGTTGACGCAAGTTTCGACTTGCGGCCAACGCGATCGAGCGAGCGGGTGTTTTCCAACGATTGGATGGGTCATTGGGGAGAAGATTGGAAACCATGACAAGAAGCATTGGGAAATGGGGAAAGCATGGGGGGAACAGTTGAAGCCATGGTTCGAGGGATCGGATGTGCGAATTTCGTGCCGAACTCGCCGGAACACCTTTGGGTGTCTAGGGTGACGTAGCCACGGATTCAAGCAGGTTGATTCCGAGGAAAGCCCTGGTGAGATTTGAGGATGGGAACCAGAACATGATGATGAGGTGGGGTTGTTTTTGGAGGGGGACCCCCAAAATCACCAAAATGGAGGTGTTCCTTTGTTTTCCCGTTGAAAACCACCTAAAGAAAGGTACCCTCAAACAAGTTGTTCAAGGTGCCGACTGCGAAAGAAAGCCGCGCTTCAGCTGCGTGGGGTTTGAGAGGCAAATGGAGAAATGATGCTTCGCCAACTGCCTGAAACGGCGGACATTTGTGGTCAGGTGCCAAAAGCGTGACTTTCCACCTGACTTCATGGACTTTGTGGTCGCTTTTTGGGTTTGGACCATCTTGGCATATAAATGCATGGACTTGTTTTTTGGGCCATCCCACTTGGGAAGTGAGACACACATGTACACCACTCACCAGTTGTTGGTGTTTTGAGAAGCCATGGGACGGTTTTTTGGGGGGTGATTCCGACTCATTCATTGCCTATCGAACCATCAAGTAATTGGTGGCTTGGATTCGTGGTTTGGAGATTGGAATTGGAGCCTTTGAAGCCAAATGAAATGGGGAAGGTACCCTCGGCCCAAACCACCAAACCACCGAGGGCCTCTCGGTGAGTCTTGTAAGTGCAACCAGGAGCCTTTTTCTTAAGCCATAAGAGCCAGGGTCATCTTGTGAGCCTTGGTTCCCAGGGCACGGGTTTTTGTGACACTGAGGGGTCCCGCGAATGTCCCTCTCAAAGGGGCCATGAAATCAGGCAATGTGTGACAGGCCTGATGATTTCACCATCTAGGTGAAAGGGATACCACACCTGACTTAACTTCCAGCCATCAAACCGCAAAGAGATGGGACCTTGCTGGGCCGCGGAGGGCGTTTTTCACCGCCAGGAAAGAAAGGCGAACAAGCACCTCGGTTTTCATGGAGTCGAGTGGACGGTTGCGGTGAGTGCGCTCAACGGCTCTTCCATTGCCACATTTGGTGCAAAAAAACTGGAGGGTTCCCCTTTTGTTTTCCCCTAAAAACAACCCTATAGTTACCTTGGGTTGGTTACCTGCAAACAAGCCCTGTGCAGCGTGGGGGAGGCTATGACACAACCTTGAGTGCCTGGTTTCTGATTTTGTGCAGGCATCCCCGAGCTCTGGCCCAAGACCCCCCAACGGTTGAGCTGGGGCGGCTGACTTTGGGTTTGTGTCCCACATGGATCGCGTGCAAGTGCTTCGACCCCCTGCGATGGGGAACCTTTGGTCGGGCATCGTGGAGGTCTTCAAGAAGATCGAGGGGGACACCTTCATTGGCCACCTCCCTGGGTTGGACCTCGACGTGCTAGTGGGTGGCATCACACCGGACTTTGTGACGGCCACGGTTTACTTCCTTGAGGTCGTTGACCTGGAGCTGCTCACCATGAGGGCGACCACCACCACCAAGGTGATCCCACACGTGGCACCCACCTCGGCCTCCTGGACACGTGTCAAAGAACTTTGCGCTGGCTTGGGTGGAATTGGTAAGGGATGCCAACAACTGGGCGCTGTGGTTTGCGCCTCGGTTGACCGCAATGCGGCTGCATCCACCCAATTGCACTCCAGCCTCCATGGCACTGTCATCAGCGGAGACATCACATGCGACCGCACCATCTACGCATTGCACATGGCGGGTGGCGCCACACCGGCTACTACCACCTCAGGATTTCCCTGCCAGCCCTTCTCGGCCCAGGGAGACCAGAAGACATTCCACGATGAGCGCATCGGTGGCTTCTGGGCTACACTCCGCACGGCATGGATGACAAGAGCAGCCTGTTTGCTACTTGAATGTGTGCCCCAGGCTGGCCAACACCCCCGACTCCAACAAGCCTTGGTTGAGTTTGCGGAGCTTATGCAATGGCGGATACAACCTGTTGTCCTTCCCCTGCACCTGCAATGGCCTGCGCGACGAACACGGTGGTGGTGTCTGTTGTCACCTACCAGCCTGCCACATGTTCCCCTTACATGCTGGCCCCCCTCGAAGGAGACGCCAACGGTGGGGAACTACATCAAGAACTGGCCCTACTGGAACCTGCAGGACGAGCGCAACCTCAGCCTCACCGAGGAGGAGCTCCAGATGTACACCAACCCACTCTACGGAGATGATCAGAGGGTACTGGACATCAACAAGCCATGCCCGGTTGCGTTGCACAGCTATGGATCAGTGACGGGACCCTGTCCCTGCAAGTGCCGTGGACCGTTCAACCCAGCACGACTCCGCCAAGGAGGAGTACGTGGTTTCTACATCAGGTCCCAGCTCACCAGCCAGTTCCGCTACTTGCACCCGAATGAGCTGGGCTTCCTCCTTTCCTTTGACCCGGTGATGCATCTCGGGGTGGACCTCAAAACGGCTTTGTGCCTCTTGGGACAATCGGCCGCACCTCTCCAAGCCCTGTGGATATATGCGCATCTCCTTCGAGCAGTCCAACTACAAGACCGGAGCACCAGCGACATTTCCCCACTCCAGGCCATTGAGGACTACAAGCACCACCTTATGCAGAGGCAGTTTCACTTCTGGGCCAAGCACCACCCTGCCCAAATCTGCCGAGCATGGGTCATTGATGCTGATGACTCCTACCTCGACATCAAATTCACTGGCAACGTCACAGTCGAGCAGATCCTGAATGCAGAACAGGGCAGCCAACCCTGGGGCTCGCAGCCACAACTCCTTGATGGACATCAAGCAGTACCACACGGAGCATGGATGCAAACGGCTGGTATGTTTGGCCCCTACCGGCTCATCTATGCGCTCAAGAAACAAAGGCGATTGCAACCCTCTGGGCTGGTAGCCATCACCATCCGTGCCAACGATGAGGAGATCGTCACCTACAAGGATGCTGGATCCTTCATCTTTGAGGTCCTGCGGGAGTATCACATCGATGAGAACGCCAAGATCCTCACCGACTATGGCCTACGAGTTGCACAGGACCTCCGAGTGTGGAACACCGCTTCCTTTCACATCACCACAGGCGGCGGCGATGCGGCCAACCAAGGCATGACCGCACACACGTTATGGCCACTTGCCCTGAACCTCCTCAACTACCACCACCACGCCCTTGCCTCTGGACCCCTTCTTGGATGCCTGATCGAGCCATCCGCCACGCATCCACTCATGCTATACCAGCACCCGGCCGCATCCAACATCACTGGCTGGCAGTTGTGGCTTGTGCTACATCAGGGCCACTGGCTACTACTTGAACTTCATGCACCACCAGCTCTTGCACCAGTTGGTGTAGCCAAGCTCTACAATGCACATACGGCACATTCGAGCGCCCAACAACTCCAACACCTGCTCCTGGATCTTGAGAAGTCGCTCCACATCAAGATCATCCTCAACAACAACAAGGGAGGACGTGATCAAGTCCATCCGGCAACATGTGGCACGGTCCTCCTTGGCAACCTTGCACATGCCCTGCGGATCCATCATCTCTGGCCCAGCAACCAAGACGAAGAACTGCATGCGGGTATTTTGCAAGCCTTCCCACAGATCCACCAGCAATACATTGGCTGCGGACCTGCTGAGGAGTCTGTCGTACTCCGCGCCATTGAGACTATCCTTCTTCAGAAAGGCGTACCAACCACCCGGGTGCGAGAACGAGCACATGCTGCCCTCAAAAAGATCGGACTTCAAGAGCTTCAACAAGTCGTCCAGCTCAAGAACCCGTGGCCGGCAATGAAGTCCGTTGCTAGCCGACCCAGCATCAACTTTATGTGGGTTGCTCATGATGAACTCCAAGCCCAGATCCGGGAGAAGGCGGAGGACAAGTTCAAGATCCAGTCCAGCAAGCGCAAAACTGCCCGAACAAGCAAAGATGCACCACCTCCTCTACTTCAGGTTGAGCCCCACCTGCTACAATTAGCACCGAACACATTCGTGCATCAGAACCAGCCCGTCACACAGATTGACCTTGGGGCCCTCAGCACTGCCACCAACGGCATCGCGTTCGGTTCGGTCGCCGACGTTTTGCCCTACCTCAAGGAGGGCAAGCCCATCAACAACACCGCAGTCGGGGTGCTCACCACAACTCCTGTACCAGCTGAGCGATGTGGTTTACTACCAGTCCGCCATCTCCGATACCCTGCTCTTTACATGCCTACGGGGGAGCCGTTGCTCATTGCGGGAAGCCTGATCCTCCTAGGCCAGGGTTCCATCGATCGTGCTGATCACTCAGGTGGCCCCAGCATCGAGATCATGGCTACGCAAACACTGCGCTTCTCTGTCTACAAGGACCAATGGACTGGAACCTGGGAACTCTTTCTGCAGAAGCCCGTGCGAGAGCTCATCCAGAAGTTCCCTATCCTGCGCTTGTGCAAAGAAGAGAGCTGCGGGGACTCATGCCCCTTCTACCATCCCCCTGTGGACGAGGCCGTCGACAATGTCATCATGGACCTCTGGAGCCGAACATGGCTGTCCGCCGAAGGCAAGTTCTGCAAGCCCGAGAATGCTGCCTACTGGACTGTCCTAGCCCGAGTGCCAAAATTCGTACAGCACAGCCTACAGGGGCTCTCAGCCACCGCAGGACTCTATGTCGAACCCCGCACATCGGGGGGCAAGGAAGCCGACCCGGCATATGCAATGGTCTGGCTTGGAAACATTTCCGTTGGCGCCGCAATGCACAAATGCAGAACCACGCCCACTGCGATCGCAGTGGGTCGGCTACACCAGAAGTATGGCGTGCGTGTGCTCGACGCCGACGCCGAGGAGACGTTCAAAAAACTCCGACCGGAGGAGCCCTTCATCAACACGAAGGCAACCTCGATCTACCGGCTCTTTCCGCTACCCTTCGGCATGCAACGACACAGCCTACAAAAGGCCATCACGAAATGGGGATGGCAAGCCCGAGTGCTACAACCCATCGGCGGCGGAGTAGCGGGCAACACCTGGGAGGTTGCAGCTGCGGTACCACCTCCAGCTGAACTCATGCAGACGGCGGAGGGTGATGTCATCGTCACCCTTGGGCGACACCTTGTCAAGGACCCCACACCACCGCCCATCCTGGCTACTTCAAGCACGCGGCAACAACTTCACAAAGCTGGACAACCTGCACCTACCTCCACTTCGGATGACCCATGGGTCCTGGGCCCTGACCCGTGGTCACAGAGGACCTCCAACAGCCACATTACCCCGCAGGACAAGTACCAACAAATGGAAGTTCGACTTCGTGATGGAGTCCGATCCACCCTGCGCAAAGAGCTTGAAGAAACCTCCATGCAGGTCGACTCGGCCTCCGGCATTGACCACCACTTTGCGGACAGCACAGTCCAGCGCATCCAAACCCTTGAGCAAGACATGCTTGAACTCAAAGCTCACAACCAGAATTTCCAGCAATGGTTCAAAGACTCGGCGGATGCCAACCAGCAGCTCCAAAACAACATCCATGAGTTGCAGACGGTCGTCCACACACACTCCTCAGAGCTCGGCAATATCAGGAGCGACTTTGCGGGCCACTCCAACTCAGTCGGCGATGCTCTTCGACAAGTCCGAGCCGATATGCAGACCGAAATGGGAGCTGGGTTCTCCAGGCTGGAGGCCCTGCTTGAGAAAAGGCCCCGCTCCTCCTGACTACGGCACAATGGCGCTGCCCGTGCTGGCGAGCAGCGGCCTAAGCCTTTTGGTTCAACCAGCAACTGGCCACATCGCGGTCTTGCGCTTTGGTGGCCACTCCTCCTTGTCTACTACCTCCTCGGCGGCACGGAGGCTTCTACCATCCACCGCCCCACGATGACGACACACCATGGTGCACCTGGGCACATGCCAACTTCACCTCAACTACCATTTGGTGACCAACTACCACCAGGGACAATGGTCCCATGCCGAGTCGGAGAAGCGACCAACCCTGGCCCCCTGCTCCACCTCACTCAAGTCGGAAAAGAAGGTCTTCTTCTT